TCATCTTGGGATTTTTGGGTATGCACTTACATGCACCTAGCATGTTTCTCAAATAAACTTCTACATCCCAAAGGGAAGAATATCAAAGAATTTGGGAGCAGTGCCAGCAGATGGTATAGTGGTTACGTTGCTGGGCTCCTACATGGCTGACCTCTGTTTGAGTCCCAGCAGACATGGTGGCTTGAAAATCACACCAGGAATGTGTGCATGTGTACCCAAGATCCCAGGAGGAGAATGGAGAAAGGATTGCATTGTGGCCATCGCCCCTGGGGAGTGATTTCTCACTTTCCCTTTCTCTCTCTCTTTCTCTCTCCAGTGAGCACATGTGCCCTATGGCAAAAACCTCTAAAAAGAAAAAAAGAAAAAAAGAATTTGGGAACATAGTTTAAAGCAACTTTCCTGGATCTATTAGACTTTAATTTAGTTTCTTAGATCAGAAGCTAGTATTCTTCTTTTCAGTTAATTTTTCTTGAGTAAATTTCTTCAGTTATTTAGATCAAATAGAATATACCAACAATGAATCCCTTGGCTATAACCAGGAGATGAGTTTAATATCCTGGGCGAGACAGTATTGTCACTGGAAAACTATTTAGACCAGACTTTCAAAAATGGAAGACATGATTGAATTTAAGGTAACAAGCTTTGGTTTCTATCTGTGGAGCTCTTTGTTTTTACCAACTGATCAGCAGTTGATGTTTCTTTTTAATGCAAAACCACTAAAGCCCTGTCAATAGCTTCACAGGCTGGCTTTCATTGACCGTAGAGAAGAACTCCCTGACAGAAGTACTTTTGGGGCATGCATTCTTACTGCCATTCAACATTGACACAAAAGCCAGCCAGACAAGCTAGAAAACATGCAGTAACCACATCTATATATGCAGGCATTGATAGGATATATTTCTAGAAGTGGGATTGATTAATTAATGGGCATTTGAAACTTTAACAGGTAATTTTAAATTATCCTCCAAAATTGCTATACTAATTTATCCTCTCACCACAGCATAGAGAATGTCAGACTCTGTCCACCTTCACTTATTTTTCCTATGTTCAAATCATAGCTGTTCTCACCATGTTAGAAAGTAGGATTTGCTTCATTAACTACATCAAAAATGTTTTCATTTAAACAAACAAACAAAATAAACAAAAAACCTGCAGAGCTGGCCTATATACAGTGCAGTGGTTAAGCATTCCAGATATGGAGCCAGATCTCACATGGCCATCTGTGGTTTGAATTCTGGACCCAGTGGCTTGATAAACATGCCAGGAGCATATGTGTGTGTGTATACCTAAACTCTTGATGAGATGGAGAAATGGAAGAGAAAGGACTGTGGCATGACCATGCCCATTAGGGCGTGCTTTCTCTGTCTCTCTCTCTCTTTCTCTAGCAAATTTATGTACCCTCTAGCAATAAAAAAAATGAAAGTTTAAGAAATCTTTAAATAATGAAACAGTATGTCTTGTATAACTTTGCAAGGCATATTACATCAATTTAAACAGTAATAATTACATAGTCATTTCCTCTTTTCAAATCTGTCCGTATGTACACACACACACACACACACACAGCCTTTTGCCATACGGCATGTTCTCTTGCTGGAAAAAGATAGGGACAGAGAAAGGGAAAGTGAGAAATTATCACTGAGGGGAAGAGCCATACTGCAATTCCTTCTCTTCCCTTTTCCTCTTGGGATTTTAGGCATGCACGCATATGTGCCTGGTATGATTTTCAAGGTGCTAGATCCAGGGCTCGAACCATGGTTTGCTTAGTGAGAGTCCAGTGCCTTAATCACCATGCCATCTGCTAGGCCCCAAAGCTGTACTTTATTTTTTTTATAATAAAACTTCTTGAGAGAGAGAGAGGTATCTCTGATAGAGTCTTACCTCATCTAGAACTGTGCACCATCTCTTCCCAAAATTTGCATTTTTTACTTGCTTAATTCCTTTTTTTTTTTTATTGCCAGGAGTGTTGGGTGCATGTGTTCGCAGGCCCAAATTCTATTCATCTTTTGTTAAGTACACTGATTATCCATGTACTCTATGGGATAAAATATTAGCACCAAGAATAACACTGCTGCATGTAGTCTTTGTCCCTACAATATTGATAAAGGGAGCTAATTAACATGGAGGATGGGAATGCAATATGCAGAAAGACTTAACCATTATTAGCTAAAGTCTACCACTTGTTCCAGGCATACATACGTACATACATATAGACTATTTTTTTTTTTCAGAGAGGTTTTTGCTATAGGGCACATGTGCTCGCCAGACAGACAGAGAGACAGAGAGACAGAAAGCAAGAAATCACCCCCCAGGGGGGATGGCCACACCGAAGTCCCTTCTCCTCCATTCTCCTCTTGGGATCTTGGGCATGCACGCACACGCACCCAGCATGAGTTTTAAGCCACCGGGTCTGGGACATGAACCGCTTCCGGGGGAGCCCAGCGACATAGCCATTATGCTAACTGCTGGTCCCTCCATAGAGACTGTTTTTAGGATTTCTTTTTTTGTTTCTTTAGTTTTTTGTCATGGGTTGTGTGCGCTCACCAGAGAGAGAGAGAGAGTGAAAGGGAAAGTGAGAAATCATCCCCCAGGGGATGGCCACAATAAGATCCCTTGTCCTCCTGGGATTTGGGGCATGCACACAAACATGCCTGGCAAGATTTTCAAGCCACCAGGTCTGGGACTAGAACCATAGTTGGCCATGTGGGAGTCCAACATCTTAACCACCATGCCACCTGCTGGCCCTGAGAACAGAATTGAATATGAAATATGGTAATATAAAGATTAGAACACAAATGACTATTATAAAGTTTTGATTTGTTTTTTAAAAATACTGCAGGTTCCAAAACACCTCAAACTCCACAGGCTCAAAACTCATTTTCATCCATCCGATCTGATCTCCCTCTTGTTTCCCATGGCAGTGAGTAAGATGACTATATACCCAGATTACTGACTAGGAACTGGATCCTATCACCTGGATGATTGGAGCAACTTCACAAATAGTGTGTTGGCTTCCAGTTCTACACACTTCTGCTGTAGCCAGAATGATCTCCTAACATTTAAATGGTCTATTTCACTCTGCTATACGGGGACCTTCAAGGTTCCCCACAGCTCTGACAATAAAGTGACTTCTAAACTAGGCTGAAAAAAGTTCTTCATGACCAAGGACTCTGCCTCTCTCCTCCAGCCTCCTCTATCACCACTCTCCTCCTGCCTGATCTTCTCGGTGCAGCAGCAGGTCTACTCTGTCACTCTGGGCCTTTGCACGTGCTACTCCTTCTGCTCAGAGCCTTCTTCCCTCCCACTCCAATCCATACTACAGGTTTTAACCCAGGTCCCCTTCCTCCATATGTCTTTTCTCTCAAAAGTTGGTGAGGTGGCCCTTTTTTTTTTCTTTCTTTGGAGAGGTTTTTGCTATAGGGCGCATGCGCTCACTAGAAAGACAGAGAGAGACAGAGAGATAGAAAGTGAGAAATCACCCCCCAGGGGGGATGGCCACGTCACAGTCCCTTCTCCTCCATTCTCCTCTTGGGATCTTAGGCACGTGCGCACACGTGTCCAGCATGAGCTTTAAGCCACCAGGTCTGGGACACGAACCCCAGTCGACTACGTGGGAGTCCAGCAACACAGCCATTACGCTAACTGCTGGTCCCAGTGAGGTGGCTCTTGTAAGTGCTTCCTTAGTCCTACTTCCTCCAACATACATAGGACAGTCCTTTTGATGTATCTGAATGAAACCCTGGAGTGTAAGCTCCAGCACACCTGGGTCTGCCTCTCTACCTTGTATATGTTCAATTCCCAAGGTCTGACACAGGGCCTGGCTCTTCATAGGTGCTCATGTGTGGGTCAACTGAAAAAACGTTCAGATGTGGAAACGAATATGGTTGCTAATCCTGGGTACTAGTTAGTTACGAATGGCTCAGACAGCAAGAATTTGTAACTTCGACAGTTCCTGACTTATTTTAATTTTTTTATGTTTCTTTTTTTCTCAGTATTTCACAGTCTCTTCAAAGTGCCACCATGCTGAAGCTGTGCCTGGGGAGTAAGGGAAGAGCTTTCAGGGCACGCTTGGGTCAAAGCTTTAACAGGACAGCAGGGGGCAGGGAGCATTGATCATAAGGTAAGAAAACCTCACAGGGGAGTGAAGCACAGGACCACCTGGCCTACACATACCCAGCTGTCTTTCTCCACCTGGACCTTCTCTTCCTAGGGCTGACCCGTCGTGTCTGGGAGAGCGGGTCTCAAGTGTGGAACTCACGTGGAGGGCTTGCTAAGCTTACACTCACATGATCCTAGTGCATACAGTCTGCTGACTCCACCCTGAGAAACACTGCTCTGGGTTTTGATGGAGGGAGATATACATTTCCTTCATACTGTGGTAAACACTGAAGCCCTCTTACAGGACCCGAAGAGTATACATTACTAAAGCATTCAGTTTGAATGAAGCCCTTATGCCACAAAACCAACTGAGGAGAATGTTGTGTCTCCCAGGCCCACAGATTTGAATTATTCAATTTTACCAGAGAAATGAGTCCTTACCCAGAGTATGAGGGAGATATACATTTCCTTCATACTGTGGTAAACACTGAAGCCCTCTTACAGGACCCGAAGAGTATACATTACTAAAGCATTCAGTTTGAATGAAGCCCTTATGCCACAAAACCAACTGAGGAGAATGTTGTGTCTCCCAGGCCCACAGATTTGAATTATTCAATTTTACCAGAGAAATGAGTCCTTACCCAGAGTATCCAATCTCCTGTAGTTTCCTGAATAACATTCCTGGTCAAAAGCCTCCTGAGTAGGGTCCTCTGCATAAGGGACATTCGAAGTCTTTGTTCCCTGCTATTCCCAGAGAGTGGTTTCCTCCTCCCCCTCCTCTTCCTTCTCTTAATTCAGAATGGTTCATTTCCATTGGGCTATTCCTGTGTGGAATCCATCTCCAACCCAGAAGAGCTCTTAAGCTCTCCAAACAGGAAGAAAGAAAGAAACCCTTGTCTTACCAGGGTCCAGAAAAGGCTGGCATTCCCCAGCAGCCCCATAGTGCAGCTCCTGTGGCCCTGCCTGTGGGATCCACGCCTCTGCCACTGGGGCCTCCTGGGCAGGTCCTGTCACCTGGAGTGCAGGTGATTCCAGGTGGATGTCTGGTGGTATGTGTGCCGTGCCCGCTGGTGCAAGTTCTTCCAAGAGCATGTCATGCATGTCGACCTGGGAGAGATGCCAAACCCCATCACTCTTACATCTAGACCAGCCCTGCCCAGTAGAACTGGGATGGGAGCCACAAATGTCATGTTAAATTGTCTAGTGGGGGGACCAGCAATTAGCGTAATGGCTATGTCATTGAACTCCCATGCAGCCGACGGCAGTTCAAGTCCTGGACCTGGTGGCTTAAACTCATGTCGGGAGCATGTGTGTGCGTGCCCAAGATCCCAAGAGGAGAATGGAGGAGAAGGGATTGTGGCGTGGCCATCCACCTGCAGGGTGATTTCTCACTTTCTATCTCTCTGTCTCTCTCTTTCTGGCAAGTGCATGTGCCCTATAGAAAAAAAAAAAAAAAACCTCTCCAAAGAAAAAAATTGTCCAGTGAGGCTGTATGAATACAACTTTAAAACAGGTAAGGCCTATCCTTATTGTATATATTGATCCAGTGTGAACTATCAGGATTTCATCAACAATTACTAGTGATATATTTTGTATACCTTTTTCTCCATACCAAGTGCTCCATAAGTGCTGTGGTTTTGTACTTAGGGCAGATCTCAGTTTACACTAGTCACATTTCAAGTGCTCAAGAGCCACCACAGCTTGTGGCTCCTCACAGGGCAATGCACGTCCAGACCATAGCAAGCTGAACTCTTATATAGAAACAAACCAAGACAGAGAAAGGCAGGGAAATAACCAACCATGCTAGCCGTGGGAGGCAGGAAACTTTGGAAGGTTCCTGGTCAGACCGCTACCTGTCCTGAAGCTAACAGAGCTCCGCCCACACATAAGGTAGGAGCACCCCTGATGACCACCTGGAAGCACCTGCTCCCTTCTCACAGGGACTGCGAGAGACTGCCTTCTGCCCAGCCAGGGTGCTCCCGGAACACAGGCTATAGCTGTGGTTGTGAACAGAGGGGAGAGATGCTGCTCCTCTGTGGAGCATCACATGTGCTGCCAGAGGGCGGCTACTAGAATGTAGTGGGCCAGAAATGGGAGCATAACTCACAGTGCAGAACTGGGGAATGTCCCCCCTCAAACATTCACGTAGAGACAGAGAATCTGTCAAGAACCCCTGCCTATGGGTCAGATACATACAAAGTATTTTTCCACAATTTAGCATGACTTGAATTTCCTAGAAATTAGCAAGCTGAACTCTTATATAGAAACAAACCAAGACAGAGAAAGGCAGGGAAATAACCAACCATGCTAGCCGTGGGAGGCAGGAAACTTTGGAAGGTTCCTGGTCAGACCGCTACCTGTCCTGAAGCTAACAGAGCTCCGCCCACACATAAGGTAGGAGCACCCCTGATGACCACCTGGAAGCACCTGCTCCCTTCTCACAGGGACTGCGAGAGACTGCCTTCTGCCCAGCCAGGGTGCTCCCGGAACACAGGCTATAGCTGTGGTTGTGAACAGAGGGGAGAGATGCTGCTCCTCTGTGGAGCATCACATGTGCTGCCAGAGGGCGGCTACTAGAATGTAGTGGGCCAGAAATGGGAGCATAACTCACAGTGCAGAACTGGGGAATGTCCCCCCTCAAACATTCACGTAGAGACAGAGAATCTGTCAAGAACCCCTGCCTATGGGTCAGATACATACAAAGTATTTTTCCACAATTTAGCATGACTTGAATTTCCTAGAAATGGTCAAAAGAAAGCTATACTGCTTATTGTCCAGGTGTACCAAGAGCAGGATGCCGCCTTGGAAAACTCCATGAGGAGCAGCAGCACTGCTCACATCGCTGGCTGTCTGGCCATCTCACCGCAGTGATTCTAAGCACAGAGGTGGGTATGACAGCTATGTGAGGTCTTCTGGTTTGGTCAAGCCCCCACGTGCATATGCAGAAACACATGTTAGTTCGTAACAAATTTTTCCTTTATATGCCTTCTAGACTCTACTGACTCAGGGTTGACACACTTTTATAAAGAGCCAGATGATAAATATTTTATATTTGTGGGCTACATTCACTATCAGTATTTCTTTCTCTCTGTTTTTTAGCAACTTTATTTTTAACCTACTTTTTTTTTTTTCAAAGAGAGAGATTTTTGCTATAGGGTGCATGTGCTCACCAGAGAGACAGAAGGTTAGAAATCACCCCCCTAGGGGGATGGCCATGCTGCAATCCCTTTTCCTCCATTCTTCTCTCAGGATTTTGGGCACACACACACTCACGTGGCATGAGATTTAAGCTGCTGGGTCCAGGATTTAAACCACAGTCAACTACATGGGAGTCCAGTGACATAACCATTATGCCATCTGCTGGTTCCTAGAAGCCTTTTTTTATTTGGAGCGGGTTTTTTTTTTTCTTTGCTATAGGGCACGTGCGCTCACCAGACAGACAGAGAGAGACAGAGAGATAGAAAGCAAGAAATCACCCTCCCAGGGGGGATGGCCATGCCACAATCCCTTCTCCATTCTCCTCTCGGGATCTTGGACACGCACGCACACGAGCCTGGCATGCTTTACGCCACCGGGTCCGGGAAGTGAACCGCGGTCGACTACGTGGGAGTCCAGCGACATAGCCATTACGCTAACTGCTGGTCCCCCTAGAAGCCTTTTTAATAGGGAAAAATCAGCTCGCAAGGTGCACAAAAGCAGGCTATGGCTGGAATTAGCCTGTAGGCCACAAAAGAAATGTGGTTATGCCTCTGTTGGATGCGTAGAGGTAGGTTTTTTTTCTTTATGAATTCCATTTATGGAGAGTAAAGGGGACACTATAAATTATTTGCTATAGAAAAAGGAATGGCATCTGATAGGGCTGAGAACCACTGACCCATATGCTGTTCCCAGGAGAGAAAAATGAAAAGAACTATGGAGAGATCTTAGGACTCAGACCCAGTGGCACAGAGGCAAAATGTGTGGTCTGCTCCCAGATGCCTCAGCTACTTTTTTGAGGCCAGTTCCAAAGATCCCAAATTCTTTTCTCACCTGCTGTTCTGGTATCTCCAGTTCTCTCTGTAAGTCTTCTATGAGTGCCACGACTCTTTCTCTGTTCTCCGGACAGTGTTCTCTCACCCAGGTCTCTATCTCTGTGGGCAGAATAGTGAGGAACTGCTCTAACACTAGCAGCTCCAGGATTTGTTCCTTAGAACGCATCTTTGGCTTGAGCCATTGACAGCAAAGCTCCCAGAGTTTATTGAAGGCTTCATGAGGCCCAGCTGCTTCTCTGTACTGGAACTGCCTGAAGCGCTGACGGAAGACCTCACAGTCAGTGTCATACTCCTGAAACACAGAGCCCTGGTTCAAGGAGGCCTGGATCGCACAACCCAGGGCCACAGCCATCGCCACTTTCCAGCAGTTGGATGTTTATCTGGGGCCTGAGGTCTCAGATTCCAATTTGTTTATCTCTGTAGTCATGGGGGGGCAGCCACCTACAGCTGAGGATAAGAAAAAATGAGAAAGGAGAAATAGCAGTAGTGACAAGAGGGTATTTGTACTGCCCCAGCTTACTTATTTTTTTAATGAAGGACATAAAGCAGCAGTTTGTAATCTTTCTTGGGGCTTGGAGAATCCAATGAAAGCTATGGATTTATTTCTATGGCAAATATAAATAGACATACAATTCTGTATATAATTCAAGAGTTTACAAAATCTCATAATTCGTCTATGGACTCTTTCTCACATATTAGAACTATGTCTAATACATTAGCCAAAAGCTCCATGTAACACTTGAAGTTTAATAAAAAATAAAAGATTCAGTTCTCAGTCATACTAGCTAAATTTCAAGTGCTGAATAGATGCCACTGCAGAAAGTCCTACTGTACAGCTGTCTTGTAGAATCCCAAGGACCCAAGGAAAAGAACTCAACCACTGAATGAACTCCTATAGATCTGACATTGAACCTCATCCGCAGTCTAATTACAGCTGTCTTGTGTTTTTGAACATATGTAGGTCAAAAGAAATGGAGGAAGAATATTCGTATTTTTTAACAACTCTGATGTCCATCCGGCTTTAAGCCCTCCTCAAGAGCCTTCAATCAAAGTGAACTTAGAACTTTGCAAAGGCAGCAAACCATCAATCCCTCATTCTTTCTCCTTTGATGTATGTGTGGTTAAGCCAACATCATTAAGACTCATCCTGCAAAAAAATTTCAAATGGCTTTACTATGAGAAAATGACACCGTAATAGGGCAGGCCTTCAGGAATTTGCTATGCATTCATAACAAAGAACATTTATGGAGTTCACGTTATGTGCCAGGTACTGTTCAAAGTATCCTATGTATATTAGTTAATTTAATATGTTGGGAGTGGGTACTAGTATTATACCCTGAATATGGACATAGGCAATGAGGTTTCAGGCATGGGAGACTAAAGAACTTATTTAAGAACACATAGTATATTCCAGAGGGAAATTGTGATGAGGTTAAAAACTGATAGTCTCGGGAACCAGCAGTTAGCGTAATGGCTATGTCGCTGGACTCCCACGTAGTCAACCGCGGTTCGTGTCCCGGACCTGGTGGCTTAAATCTCACGCCGGGCGCGAGTGCGTGCGTGCCCAAGATCCCGAGAGGAGAATGGAGGAGAAGGGATTGCGGCGTGACCATCCCCCCTGGGGGGTGATTTCTCGCTTTCTGTCTCTATGTCTCTCTCTGTCTGTCTGGCGAGCGCACGCGCCCTACAGTGAAAAGC